ACAAGCTACTTTCCAAACATAGAAAGTTCACATGACTTCACAAGATCACATAATGACACTAACAATCAATGCACATGAAATTTCAGGTACCAAACCCCACTTGCGGCGGCACCACCTGCTCATTCAACCTCACCTACGGTAGCTCCACCGTCGCAGCCAACCTCTCACAAGACAACATCACTCTAGCCACTGATTCAATCTTCAGATACACCTTTGGCTGCATAGCAAAAGCCACAGGCAGCTCTGTGCCTCCCCAAGGTCTATTGGGCCTTGGCCGTGGCCCGTTATCGCTTCTGTCCCAAACCCAAAACTTGTACCAATCCACATTTTCTTACTGCCTTCCTAGCTTCAAGTCCGTCAACTTTTCTGGGTCATTGAGACTTGGGCCCATTGGCCAGCCCAAGAGGATCAAGTACACACCGTTATTGAAGAACCCAAGAAGATCTTCACTTTACTATGTGAATTTGATGGCAATTAGGGTTGGAAGAAAAGTTGTTGATATCCCACCCACTGCTTTTGCATTCAATCCCACTACTGGTTCAGGAACCATCATTGATTCTGGTAATGTTTTTGTTTTCTCAATTTATTTTTTGTTTATTCTATAATAAAGGTACATATCTTATGCTTAGGGATGTTAATAGAAATTTATACTAAGATGGGTTCAATTCCATGTCTAGGTAATGGTTGGTCCAAATTAGTTATGTTCTTTTAATGTGACCAAAAAATATTGTGGGATAAATTGGACACTAGTTTTAAGTCAACTAATGTCACATTTTCTTTGTACTGCTGGAAAAACAAAATATCTAAAGCTAAGAGCCAAAAAAAGGATATAATGGGTTCGTTGGAATCATATATGTTATCGGTAGTCGTGATTGTGACAATTTTAATGTATTTACCTTTCTTATTATTATGGTGATCAGGCACGGTTTTCACCCGGCTAGTCACACCAGCATACATTGCAGTGAGAGACGATTTCGGAAACGGGTTGGCCGAAACTTAACAGTGACAACCCTAGGGGGATTCGACACGTGTTTATTCGGTCCCCAATAGTTTCACCAACGATAACCTTGATGTTCTCGGGATGAAGGTGACACCTCCCACAAAACAACCTGCTAATCCACACGCACAGCAGCCATCACATGCCTAGCATGGCTGCGGCCCTGACAATGTGAACTCAGTGCGAATGTGATAGCCAACATGCAGCAACAAACCACAGGTTTCTTTCGATGTTCCCAATTCAGGCTCGGTGTGGGCCCGTGAGCCCTGCAGCTGAGTTTGATGGCTTTTCGTGTTTGTTTGGTACTAATTTTTAAGAGGAAAAGGGCCAAATTAAAATTATTTGTAGCTTTTTGTAAGGGTTCTGATTTGTCACGGGTTCTCTGTATTTGTCCAGTGTTTGCATTTTCTTCAAGATGATGATAATTTATTGTCACGGTGACTAAAGTCTTTCATGTACTTTTTTTTTGTTAAAAAATTCTAATCAATCAATATACACCCCTGGTTTCTTTATAGTTATTATTTCGAGTAACTTTTTTCCAAAATAATTAGATTGTCTTTTCTTTTTTTAAGTTCTCTGACCCACGCTCCTTTCTTTAGGGAAAACTTTCTGAAAGGCTTAAAAAGAAAGAGGGAGTAATATCTAAAACATGTTTCTTTCTTTAATCATTTTTTGTACCGCAACCTTTATGTTGGATTTGACTTTTGAGGTCGTAATAGTATTTGTTTGGGAAGTGATCTAAGAAATCAACACTTTAACCTACTCAAATTGGTTTAATCTTGTAAAATTTTATATTAACTCTTAAATCCTCGGATGGTATAAGTGTTATTTTCTATTTCTAATAACTAATCGTTATATATAACCCTAAATTATCCTAAACTTGGTTTCAATATTGAATTTTAGATGTAAATTTAAATTAGAAAAAAAAAGTAATTTTCTGTTTTCTATAGCTTCTAGTTTTGAAAATATTTAAAAATATTATACTAAATATATCTTTCTTTATTAAAATATTAACGTACAACTTAGTTTTATATTAAACTTAGTTTATTCAAACTTTTTTTGAAAAACAACAAAATTGGTAGAATTATATTTCAAAACTTTTTATTTAGGTATATTTAAACATTTTTAATTCAATTTTTCATTAGGAGTAACACTATCCACTAGTAAACTCTAATAGTGGCTTGCGTCTACTATGTTTTTTGTATGATCTTAAAATGAAGATGATTATGACATAATATCAATAACATAATCGACTCATTCTGAACACTATAACTTAGATGATTTTGATAATTTGATCTTTACGATTATATTAATGGTCCAATATTTATCAATCCATATCATAACTTCACCCTAAGTTACATACTCCATGCGACATTTGACTAATATCACTAGACTTTTGATTATTGGTGTGTAAGCATCAATTGAGGCCTTCATGACAAATAGCCTACAATAAATAGCTTGATGCGTTTGGTTCATTATTTTGGATAGGATTTTGATAATATTGGGTAGTTGATAGGGGAGTATTAGGAGGTAAAATTTAAAAATTTATTAAAAAGTCCATAGGTTTACTAATCTAATTAAACACCCCAACATATAAATGATAAAAAATACCCTACCACCTGCAATGCCCAGATTCTGCCTCATCGCTGAATCTGGTTTGAAAAATCGCATTACAACACCAACCGGTCGATCTGTGTCGTAACGCGTCGTTATAGCCTTTCTGGCCAAATCCATCATGGATCTAGCCAGAAAAGGCCAGATCTACAGCCTGCTATAGCAGTTGACGGCCAGAAAAGGCTAAAACGACGACCATCTTTGATCGTTAGCTACGGCCAACGATATGGCCATCATTTTTTCGTTCAACGATCGCTATTTCTTTGCCGTCACTGACGGCTAGATCTAGCCTTTTCCGGCCGATCCACTGTGGATCTGGTTGGAAAAGGCCAGATCAGTGAATTACGCCAGTTCCGGTTGGTATTCACCGTTGTACAGATTCCGGCTACTACCGATGGTGGTTGTCGGAATCTGCCAAGTTATGGTCAGGGGGTGTTTTTTTTATTTTTAAATTTTTTTTCAGGGTATTTAATGAAATTAATACCTTATGGTTTAAAAGTAATTAGAAAAATTAGATATATTTCGGAATATGTGCCAGATTATTTTGGAGAATAGTAGTTGGAATATGGGTAGGAATAATGAACCAAACCCGGTATTTGATTTTGCCAAGCACTCATTTATATGGGCCTATGAAGCCCATTTAACGTTGCTTTTTATTAGACTTTTCTGGGAATTAGTAGCAAATAAAGGGGTGTTAAAAAGCCCCTAATTTTCTCTCACAAAAGTTCAATTTCTTGTTAAATGAGGTTAAAATAGTCATAAAAAGAGATAAATAAAAGATAAAATTAATCAGTTTTATAATTGAAGGAGGAGTTGAAATAAAAGATGTTGATTTATAAGAACATAAAATTAAGTAGTGATTTTTAACCCCACTCAGTATCATCGACACACCATAAAATATCCTAATTAACATGTTTTGTACATATAAATTTGACTCAAACATAACTGCAATGCTTTTTTGTTTTTTAAATTTACAAATAAAATACCTCTTTTGAAGTATTTTGGTCCTTCAAAACTATGGAATTTGGGTCCAGGCTATTTTATGAGATTCTTTCCAAAATTGACTAATTTTATTTGGACCCTAAATTAGTGGCAATTAATGTAATTTCCCAAAATTGAGATATCATGTCAATCAGGCACACTTAAAAGTGTAATTGTATTTAAAGCAAAACAAGCTCATGAGCCAGCCATCCTCTAGAATAGGGGTGAGTAGTTTTGGGTACCTTTTATTTTTCAGGGGAACCAAAACGGCACAATGCTAGCTCCCAAAAAAGGAACCGAAACCAGAACCTGATTCCTCACCTGGGTATCTTATAAAAAAATCAATTACCCCCTATTAGTTTAAAAAATGACAAAAATACCTTAAAAATTTACAAATACACCCATAACAAATTAAGAAAACCCACATTCAGTAGTTTTCAACTTTTGATTACTCATTCATTTGTGTCCAATGTGACTCATAAATCCTCTAATCTCTAGGCAACACTTGAATTCAGTCAATTCATCACCATGCACATAAAATTTCTCAATCAAAACCAAAACACAAACAGGTTCCAAGCAGGATACCCGTTTCAAGTTCTTTTCCCAGGTTCAGGTTCAGGTTCCAGTTTCAGTTCCGATTTCGAAACTTGTAGGAACCGGAACCACATAGTGTCGATTCTAATAAAATGGAATCAGAACCTACCCGCATAGTGTCAGTTCCGGGTAGGTTCCGGTTTCAGTTCCGGTTCCGGTTCTGGTTCTACCCGCTGCCAATGCTCACCCGTCTAGAAAGGCATAATTGAAGAGTTCCAAATCAGATTTAAATTAAAAATGTTATTAGCAAAGTTTGAGTAGTCAGTAGACAATCCAAATGCCAGATTAAAAGAGAATTTAGGGAACCAAACCCAGAACTGGGCATACCATTTGCAAAGTTTACTACTAAATAAACAATTGAAAGCCACAATATAAATATTTAGTCAACCAAAACCAAATATGCCAGCAGATTAGAAGAAAATGTCTGTTATAACCTAAGCCTGATAAGCAAATTCGCAACACAAATAACANTCTTCAACCCGTAACTAACCCTAGAGATTACACCCTTCGAATCTCTAAGTACAGCGTATACAATACACCTAGAATGACCTGACCAGTCACTCAATAACCAAGTTACAGGAAACACTCAACCCAAACTGAAAAAACCCTAAAGGCTCAACAATGGTGTTTAACGAAGAAGAGAGAGACTTGTAAAACGAATACTGAATCGAAATTCATAAACTGCCAAAATAATTCTGCTTTTATATGGTCAAAATTAGGGTTGAATTTCAGCCGTTGGATCTTCTTCTCATCAACGCTCAGGATTGTTTCTGTCATTTAGATCAAAGCGACGTCGTTCCACTTAAGTGCAAATATGACAGCGTTTCAAGCCATCATCCAACATGTTGAAAAGCTGAAAAAGTCTGGCTATGCCCATGATGATGTGGTGTTTCATCAGCTTGATGTGGCAGACCCTGCAAGTATCAGCCGTCTAGCAGATTTCATCACAAATCAATTTGGGAAGCTTGATATTTTGGTATGACTTAGACTCAAAAGTCAAAACTATATATATATATATATATAACAAAGGTGATCACTGATTAAGTACTGTGTATGTGGCCATACATTTATAGCAATATTTACTATTATCCTTCTGGGGCAATTTAAGAAACCAATCCACCATTTTCCTATAAACTATGCAAAACTTATGATTTTTTCTTTAAGTAATACTAGTCTTACAAAGAGGTATATAAAGAGTCATACAAAAAGTCAAATCAAGCCTTTGAAATTCATAATTACCTATTTCTCTCTCTCTTTTTCCCTTCTTCTGGACTTGACTCTTTGTATGACTCTTTGTATGCCTCTTTGTAAGGCTAGTATTACTCTTTTTCTTTTAGTCACCAAATTGATTCTTTAGTCTCTTCTCAAAGCATTATCATTAAAATTATAAACTAAAGTAATAAATTTTAATGTTCTAATCTACATTGCATAGAAAAAAAAATGTTAGGTCTTGGACTTATAAGAATCAAAAGGTATACGTTAGTTTTTTGGGTAATGTTCAACTCGTAACACTAAAGAAATTAAAAGTATCCCAAATTCTAGCTTAAATGTCTGGACTTTTTGGTAGGTGAACAATGCAGGGGTTGGCGGTGTAGTCCTATCGGGTGATGTTGACGTTGCTACTTTATCAGGTCTTCTCAAGGTACTACTACTTGCCTTAAAATCACACTCCGTTTCAGACCCTTAGTTTTCTTGTTTCTACTATTGACTTGGTGAGTATTAACTATTAAGATAATTTTTTCTCTCTATAATACAGGCAGGTCCATCAATCAAATGGAATGAAATATCAACTCAATCTTATGAGTTAGCTGATGAATGTGTTAGAATAAATTACAACGGCGCCAAAAGAATGTGTGAGGCGCTTATTCCCCTCCTCCAGTTATCTAATTCCCCAAGAATTGTCAACGTTTCATCCTCCATGGGAAAGTTACAGGTAAAACAATAACTTCTTACTTCTTGCTAGAAATATACAAGTTCCATTTCAACCCTACTCAAAACTTTGTTTCTCATTGTTTTGTTCCAGTTGGTGACAAATGAATGGGCCAAGAGAGTATTAGGAGATGTGGAGAATCTTACAGAAGAGAAGGTGGATGATGTATTGAGAGAGTATCTAAAAGATTACAAAGAGGGTTTGCTAGAAACCAAAGTGTGGCCTGCTTTTATGTCTGCTTATATTTTATCAAAAGCAGCTATCAGTGCTTGCACAAGGATCTTGGCCAGAAAGTACCCGAGTTTCTGCATTAACTGCGTTTGCCCTGGTTTTGTCAAGACAGACATAAACCACAATGGCATTTCGTCGATCCCTTGTGTTTGTAACTTAATCTCACGAATTAACCCCAAGACTTAGCAAGATCTGAAGTCCTAACGATCTAGAATCTTGAAATCGAAAAACCCCCAAATCTGACAAACCCTAATTTTAGAATTCGTCAAGAAGACCAAGCGATTTCTAACCCTAAATCCCCTTAGAACTTTCCAGCTCTGATACCACTGTTATAACCTAAGCCTGATAAGCAAATTCGCAACACAAATAACACACACAAGATTAAAGAACAAAGAATCACACACACAACACAAGACACGATTTTACCGTTGTTCGTCTATCCAATCTTGGATAGACTACGTCCACGTTGAGCTCCGAAATACGAAAGCTCACAGCACTAAGAAGATATTCAACGATTACAAGAAGGACAAGAATACAAATCTGCCAAAAACAGACTAACACCCAACCAAGGCCTAATCACTCAAGAATCTCTCAATAATCTGCAAGAACAGAGGACAAATACCAGCCTCTAGAAGGAAACGCAACCCTCTCTCACAATCAACCCAGATTACACCCAGAAAGATTTAGCAAAAACCAACCCTAGCTTATCCCTCTTTTGCAAACCCTAATACCCGATTAACAACAAAACGCGTTCTTTTTTTTTTTTTTTTATCACTGTTGCTCTTCTTTATATATGTTTGCGTTCGTAATCCTCAGCCCTTGGATCTATATTGATCTGACGGCTGAGTTTCGGTAATGGTCTTAAATGAAACGACCCCGTTTTGGCTTCCAATGGACTTAAGTGAAATGGCTCCGTTTTGGCTTCACAATATTTTCAATGTCCAATGTTATTAATTATTTGAATGACTTCATCAGGCGATTTCAAAACTAGATTCTAAATCATGGATCATCCAAAAGCCTACCAGGCATCATGCCTAGACATCAAATAATCTGTTTATTTTAACTTCTTCATTTTTGCTTTCAGAAGCCAATAGAAAACTTTGCCAACTCTTAAGCACACAGCTAAATGACAATCTGGTATGTATTGCAACTTTATTGTTGTCCCTTGATAGAGGAAAAAAGTATTCTAACAACCACTAAATTAACAATCCATGGTAGAGCAATGTGCATTGCAAATTCATTGTTGTCCCCCTCGCAGTAACCAGAAGATTAAGAATCCAGTACAACAGCAGAATGGTTCAATTAATTAAACAAGAAATCCAAGCTCCAGGGGCCAATGCTAGCATGAGTAGTAGATTTGCACAATTTTGAGAATCTGGTAGAAAATTAGGCGTTGCAGGAGGATACATGTTCTCAGATTCTTTAGCACAGCAGAATACATTAGAGACTACTGCATATGTAAGAATGTAACAGACTTGAAAGTTTTAATCACTTACCAAGTTGATTAAACCTAAGCGGATTGGGTTGCTAACTTGATTTTAGTGCTTGTGAGTTTGTTCATTCATCACCAACACAAATCAAACATTCATGAAACAAAATAAAGCACACCAGGGGATTTTACATGGTTCGGCAAAATGCCTATATCCATTGGACCAAGTCCAGATGAAGCCAATCCACTATGATAAACATTTACAGTTCAATTACAAAGCCAAATTAAGCATCAATTGCAAGAACACTCCTTGCTGTCGTAATGCTTTAAACTCCACCCTTTGGTCGAACTTCGAACTACCACAGCAAGCTCCACGTTAACGAGACCACCTAGTCAGCCTTGGATCAATCACCAAAGACGCTCTCCAGTTGAAGTAGCTTGAAATACCATCAAGCAATAGCCACATAACCAACGTAGAAGCAAGGAGTATTGATGAAGGTATTTGTAAGCCTATCTAAGCATATGAAACTTGATGTAAGACAAAAGAAACCTTTTAGAATACACAGAGTACTTTCAAAGGAATTATCAGGCTTTAAATGAAATTGCATTGGAGAAGAGAATATAAAGAAGAAAATTTCCGGCCAATGCAAGGGGATAGGTGGCCAACAAGATGCATTTTGGTTTTACCTTTTTGGAAAAGTTTATTCCAAACTTTCTTGGGACCACCGACAATTGCAAATAAACTTTCTAGCACATTGTATGAATAAATTTCAAGTGTTACGGACCACAAACAATATCTCAAAAGAGAATAAAAACAGTTTAATGGAATATCAAAATGCAATATGTGTTATGCAAAATATCTGTCAAATGCGTGTGACCACTCAGACTCCGAGGTGCCCACGCGATATAATGGAAAAATAGATCTAATTGAAAATAATCACTTCGACAGAGAGTCGTCACACTGGAAATTTAAACAGAAAATGATTGTGCAATAATAAGAGTGAAGTGCTCATACCACGACTAGTGTTACCACACTAGAATCATAAGTTGACAAATTGTCAACGTTTCATCCTCCATGGGAAAGTTACAGGTAAAATAATAACTTCTAACTTCTTGCTAGAAGTATACAAGTTCCATTTCAACCCTACTCAAAACTTTGTTTCTCATTGTTTTGTTCTAGTTGGTGACAAATGAATGGGCCAAGAGAGTAATAGGAGATGTGGAGAGTCTTACAGAAGAGAAGGTGGATGATGTATTGAGAGAGTATCTAAAAGATTACAAAGAGGGTTTGCTAGAAACCAAAGTGTGGCCTGGTTTTTTGTCTGCTTATATTTTATCAAAAGCAGCTATCAGTGCTTGCACAAGGATCTTGGCCAGAAAGTACCCGAGTTTCTGCATTAACTGCGTTTGCCCTGGTTTTGTCAAGACAGACATAAACCACAAAACAGATATATTAAGTGTTGAAGAAGGTGCCGAAATTTGTGTGAGGTTAGCTTTGCTGCCCAATGGGGGTCCTTCTGGTCTGTTCTTTTCACGGAAAGAAGAGACCTCTTTTTGAATTGAGGAAGTTGATAAATTTCAAACCATAGCTTGTAAAAATTCTGTGCTTTTCCCTTGTATTGTGGTGGACTTTAGTAATGTGTTCCTTTAAACAATAATATTATGATTATTTTTATGATTGATCAACAACAAATCTTAATTTCTTCTTTCTTCTCTTCTCCATTCTGTATGTATAATCTATGGTACAATGATATTATCATTCTCAAATTTTAATTCAATTATCTCTATGTAAAACTTAATATAAAGGCTCTTAATTTTCAAGATAGGAAATTAACCATATTCTCGACATGCTTTGAAGAATCATGATAAGTTATTCAAATTTACAAACCGCATACTATGTTGTGTTTAGTCATCGAGAAATACGTCTCATTCAAATTAATTGTTGATCTTCTTTGCTGGTTTTATATGATGTTTTAAAGAAGTTTTACACTTACAAGAATGATAATTATTCATTAACGAAAAATCATGATAAAAAAAGTATTATATTGAAAAAAATCTAGAATACGTGCTGAGTTAGTAGGGGTGAGCATGGGTAGCGGATAAAACCGAAACCTACCCGAAACCGACATTGTACGGGTAGATTCCGGTTCCTTTTTATTGGAACTGACACTGTGTGGTTCCAGTTCCGGTTCTTATAGGTTTCAGAACCAGAATTGAAACCAGAACCTGAGAAAAGAACCTGAAGCGAGTACCCAGCTTGGAACCTGTTTGTGTTTTGGTTTTGATTAAGAAATTTTATGTGAATTGATTGAATTCAAGTGTTTCCTAGAGATTAGAGGATTTATGAGTCACATTGGACACAAATGAATGAGAAATCAAAAATTGAAAACTACTAAATGTAGGTATTCTTAATTTGTTAGGGGTGTATTTGTAAACTTTTAAGGTATATTTGTCATTTTTTAAACTAATAAGGGATAATTTATTTTTTATAGGGTATACGGGTAAGGAACCGGAACTTACATTTCAGGTTCTAGTTCCTTGAATTTAATAACCGGAACCTGTCGGTTTCGAGGTTCCTTTTTTTTTGGAACCTGCATTGTATGGTTTCGACTTTGATTCCCTCGAAAAATACAGGACACCCGAAACCACACACCCCTAAGAGTTAATACCACAAGCCACTTAAAAGGTTGATATGTGTCAATTTCATTAAAAACTCAATTAACTTTATATTCATTTTTTAATTTCAAATTTTAAAAATAAAAATTAATTTCTCTCACTTCTCTCTTGCGGATCTTTCACTGATGGTTTGTTTGGTATCAACTTTAAGTATAATCAAACCCAACAAATCTAAATCATCGAAAAACAAAATGGAAACAAAGGAATGGTTGTGCAAAAAGTTTTCAGTTCGGTGATGCAGGTTGTGCTCGATGATGCTAGGACGAGATTTGGTGGTGGTTTGCGAAATGGGCAGCCAAACCCAACCATGCTGGGTCGCCGACATCACGCTGCTAACGTTAGGTGTGATGCGACCTGATTCTAGGCTGCCCTTCAGGCGACGATACTGGGTTTTACAGGACCAATCCTTGTCACCGGAGACAAAGCCGCCCAGCTGCCTCCACCTTTGTTGTTGTGAAGAGTGAAAGTCGAATGTATAAAAATCTGTTAATTTTGTTGTTAGAATAAATACGCATCGTTTCGTTAATATGTTAAGTGAAACTGTGGGTATTGGATATTCTAGTTGGTTAACAAAACAGTGCGTACAATGCAGTCGTTATTCTTGTTTAATTTCTGTTGTAGGGTTGGGTTTGTTAGAGTTATCGACCATTTTAGTATTAGTGGGCCACGCAGACTCATTCGAGGGTTTTACTCCCCGGTAAGCAAGTAGGGGTCGCGGGGGCAACCCCCCCGAGCCCGCAGATGGTTTGGCCTTTTTCATGAAGAGTTGTTAAAAGATTTATTTTAAGTTATTAGTTCTTTATTGGGTTTGGACTTAGGAATATGAATCCTTATAATACTATATTTTAATCTTTTAAACCTAGCATATATAAAGACATTTTTCTTTTGTAATGAGTGGTAGCAAACAATAAGGTAAATTCATTCATTGTAAACGAGAGAGATGAGACAATATTGAAATAATATCGATTCTGCTAGATATAGCTGGTTAATTGGGTGAACAAGGATAAATCATGCATATTACTTTTTCTCTTTACTGTTTATGTGTTGTGTGTTTACTATTATCTTAGTTTCGTATTTGTCTTTATTTCGTTCAGGGTTCAGGTGCAAAACGTGCGAACTCTTTTGCCACTTTTGCACTCTTTTATAACTATAAAAGCAGAGTTTCTAATAAGAATTTCAGTTCTCATTTCTCTTGGGTTCACTCTAAATTTCTCATGATATCAGAGTTGGTTTGACTAGCGTGAATGGTCAATTTTCCTTCTTTTTTCTAGCTTACCAATCTACTTGAGAAAAGCTTTACATCAGATGTTGTACTAAGTAGTTTGATGAATCATTCCAATCCTTTTTCCGTCTTCTAATCTGCAAGTGATAAACCTTATAAAGAATATTAACGATACTGGAGCTCTCAAGTACTCATTCACTCTTGGAGCTCATGAGCTAGAGCATCATCTAACAAGTTATTAGTACCTTGTCTTTCTCCTTTTGTTATGGTCAAATCAGATAATAGTATCTATAAGTGTAAACGAATCGAGCCGAATCGAGTATATAACTTCTCAAGCTAGGCTTGGTTGCTACAGTATCAAACTCGAGCTCGACCGAGCTTGAGATGTTTACTAAACCATCATTAAATTGATTTACTATTGCTTAATTGATTATATAATAAATATAATGCTCGCTATGTCATCAATATTGCTTATGTAGTAAATATAATTCTTCATTTATTTTCTTAAATGATTTACTAAATCATCATTAAATTGATTTTTTTTTTTCAATATATTTATATATTTCAGAAATTTTATTAGATGAGCATGCAAAAGTCAGTAATATATAGTGATACACTAAATAATTTCTTGATTAGCAAATAACATAATTATTAGAGATTTAACAAATGAAGAAGAGTTTAACAATCATTCTCTTCTGTGACATCTTCATCTTTTTAAAATTAGGCCTTTTTACGGTAAAAAAGTGTTAAATTACAAAATTACATATATTATTTTATTATAAAACTTTCAGAATTTTTTTTATTTCCGCATTAATTAATCGGTCTATATTAACAATGAGCAATGCCAAGAAAATAAGGAAGTATTCATGATTTGTATCTCAACTATAGATTTAATTTGACAAAATACTTTTTCACGCTATAACATTACTGTATATATTTCAACTTCTATATCTCAATTTTAATTTGTACCTCCAACTTAATGGCATTATTAGATGAAGAGATCATGTATCAATTAATGCATATCCACCTTTTATATCAATTAAATTGCAACTTCAGTAGGGATACAAGAATTGAAATGAGTATATGCTCCATCTTTTGGATAAATAGTGTAGACGTAAAAATCTACCTGTACGGAAGGGAGGTCTGATCCCGTGAGGATGAGGCCACTAGCGATCTGCTGTACTTGCACACGTAGAGAAACACACCCGTGAAGCGAACGGGAAACACCGGGATGGTGTTTGTCATAGGCACTCCGACGCTCAAGTCAGCAAAGCTGAGAGAGGCTAATATAGTGAGGGCTAGGAAGTAGAGATTACCGGAAGTCTAGTCGAGGACTGTGACTATGGCAGTGATGTAAAGCTCTTGAGTAGGAGCTTCGGGTGTGAAGGTGTAATGTGATGTCCTTTGTGAGAGGGCTGGCCTCTACTTATATAGTGACTGTCTGGTCTCTCAATCCTGGTAGAAGTAGGAGTCCTAGCATGACTCTGATGCAAACCCTAGAAGAATTAGGGACGTGGTAAGCTGTCTTACCAGTGTCCGGATAGGAAAGTGATTCTGATCAGGAAAGTAACTCTGAGTAGGAAAGTGATCAGGAATAGGAAGGTGACTTTGAATGGGAGATTGATCCGGAGTAGGAAAGTATTCTGAGGGGGTCATGGGCTCTGGATTCGCCCATGGACCTAGGAAATGGACTGGGATTAGCAGGCTCGTGCCCACGTGGTTTGGATCGGCTATATCTTGTATCGAATGGGCCTAATCCGGTTGGGTCATATCGGGATTGGGCCTAGCTTCTTCTTCAGTGTCGGGCTCGTTTTCCTATTTGGGCCAAGGATGATTTTTGGCCCTAACAGTTTGCTCCCCACTCTCGGAGTTAAGAGTTTCTTAAGTCAGAGAGTAGGAAGCGATCGATGGGCGCTTGGTCATTCTTCCGGGATGATCGGTTATTAGTGTAGTTGATCCTGCAAGTGATTTTTGTCCTGGGGTCGTTCGGTATCCATTGCCAATCCGGAGTATGCCGTCATGGAGTGCTGTGCCCGATCAGTGTGAAGGGCCGAAGGAACGGACAACGAGAATTCGGGGGCTCATAAGCTCGTTCGGTACGTCCTACCGACTGAAGAGGTGAGGTGTTACTATTGCCGCGGTGTCCGCTCGGCGGGCTGGGTCGAATGAACATGAGCATTAAACTGGATGCTTGCTCGGTCGGGGTGTTCGGGCGATCGAATGAAAGAAATATGCGAGCTTTAACTCTGTCGGTTCGTTTGCTCCAGAAGGACGAATGGGTCGTACCCATACCTTTTTACCTACGGAGAGATCGGGTCGGGCCGTTCTCAGGCTGTTTGGTCGGTCGGTAAGCTTGCCTGGACTTGTGAATCATGGGCTTCTGTTGGGTCTTGTTCTGGCGGTCGCGAGCTAGCTCGGTCGGGGAGGTAGGTTGATTGGGACTGATCGTGCGGATTCCTAGGTGCCGTAGATGCTTGCCACGTGTTCGACAGATATCAAATCCTGATTTTCGAGGCGGGAAAACGAAAAGGTGCTCTAACTCATAGCCAATCGTGGGCTGCCACGTGTTTCAAGCTGTCAGTTTTTCTTTTAAAAACGAGTGAACAAGCCGTTCGTCTCCCATTGTAATTTTCCTCCGTTTTTCTTCAGAAAAATATTTT